CCCTGGCCCTTTTTGTTATTGAGAAGAAGTTGTTTGAAGATTTAAGATACCTGACCCCAGTGACCTTGAAAGTGGGTCAAGGTCATTTATTTGAACAAACTTGGTAGCCCTTCATCCCAGTATGCTACAGGCCCAATATCAGTACCCTGGGTCATTTGGTTATTGAGAAGAAGTTGTTTGAAGATTTTAAAGACATCTGACCGCAGTGACCTTGAAAGTGGGTCAAGGTCATTCATTTGAACAAACTTGGTAGCCCTTCATCCCAGCATGCTACAGGCCCAATACCAGTACCCTGTGCCTTTTGGTTATTGAGAAGAAGTTGTTTGAAGATTTTAACATATTTGACCCCTGTGACCTTGAAAGTAGGTCAAGGTCATTTATTTGAACAAACTTGGTAGCCCTTGATCCCAGCATGCTGCTGGCCAAATATCATCTTCCTAGGCCTTTTGGTTACTGAAAAGAAGTTGTTTAAAGTAAAAGGTTGACGCCGGACGCCGCACCATGGCATAAGCTCACTTGCCCTTCGGGCAGGTGAGCTAAAAATAAAGGAGGAAACTCCTATTTATAAACTTTATTTAAATCTCCTCAATAGAAATGTTTTGTGAGCCAACTGGTAGTGCCAACAAGGGCTACATTCGCGTATCCCGGTTGAAATGGTCCGTGTGGCGCAGAAATATTCCACGATAAAACGAACGCACTTGGACTGTTCTATAAGCAGAGCTTAAAATGCAGTTTCGGAGAATAAAAAACAATGTATCAAGAATATAAAATGCCCTTCTTTCACACGTCCACTACATAACGTATCTTCAAAACTACATGCAACTTGACATTGTTTTAGAAAGAAATAACGCAGACTAGCAATAGTTAGCATTTTAGTTTCGGTCAGGTACGCCTGGACCCTTCAATCTACACGTGCCAAATTTTCCTGAGGTCAGCCTCAGTCCAGATCTGTGCCTGTCATTTTCTTTACAGATTCAACCAGTTCAACCGTTTCAACCAGATACGCGAATGTACCCAAGGTGTTTATACAAAGGGGCATTTATACAAAGGGGCATAACTATATACAATATTCTAAATTATATCTTTTATTCCAATTGGTGATCTAGGAGAAATTCTAACAAAGATTTAACAAACAAAGGGGCATTACTTCATAAATTGTGGAGGTTCTGCAAAACATTTACATTCTCTTGATGTAAGGATTGTGTGCACCAAACATCAAAGTGGTGCAGTACTTTGGAAGGAGTAGGGCAAAAAAACTTGCATCTACACACAGATAGATGGACAGACAGAAAGCAACCTGATTCCAGTACACCACCTCCATCCATGTGTTGCAGGGGGTATAATAAACAATTCTAAAAGTCACCATTTGATTATCCATACAAAAACATCATCACTATTTTGACACTTGCTTCAAAAAAAACTTTTGTCTGAACAGGTCAAATCTTCCAGATTTATTATCTATAACGAACCATCAAGAATAATGTACGAAATACATGCATCATTTGGTGTTAATTTGTGATGATGAGAAAACTAAACTACTAATCAAAGATCTGTCCATTTCATTTGAACATGTTTCCTGGAATCATATATATCTGTTGTATTCCTCTTTATTTCATTCAACTCAAGGCAGATCTGGTGGTTCTTCATCAGAATCAAATTCAGCCTCCTCATCGCGAATCCATTTCCCTGTAAGGTCTTTTTTCCAGCCAGCACTAAAACACAAACATTAATTTATTAGAGTATGGAACATAACCATACTTGCTACAGAGTGTACATACTAATGTCTGAATAGGACATAATGGACCAACTGATACAGGGTGATCTCATAACACTAAAGTTTATCAATACATAAGAAACATGTGTGAAGGATGCAAAGGCTGAATATGAAAGGTCAAGGTTTTAATGTTCGTGATTAAATTCTCTCAAAATGATGAATAAAAGGCACCTTACTTGTACAAAAAGACATTAGGGAGAGGTTTTTACATAAAGTCACTTTCTGAAGAAGTACTGTTTACAAAACATTCCAATGTGGACTTGTATCCTTGCTTACCCTCTACACTGCAGATACAGTTCTGCTTTTCTTTTCCTTTCGTCTGACACTGCTGATGCTTCTGGTCGACATGATAGCTTTTTCTTCAGTTGTTTTCTATTATTTGGAGGAGGAGGGGGATTTTCTGCCAGAGAAAGAATGTCTGAATGTTCTAACTTTGAAAAGTTATCTCCCCTTGAACTTGTGTGTCCCAAGATGGCACTTTGTCCGTCAAATGTTGAAGAGCTTTGTTCATTTGAATGAAATCTGCTGCCCATGAAATTTTGTCTGGAGCATGAGCTTTGTAGAGCAGATGTGCAAGCTGAATCAACTGGAAGTTCAGAATCACAAAGATTTCTTTGAATTCTATGCCCGATATATGGCTTGTACTCTTCAATACTTTTTTCATCTGTTGACTTTTCCCCAAATATGTTTTTAAGTTGCTTAGAATGTTTAACCGGGCCATTGTCTGCCTGCTGTTGTAACAACAGATCCCTGAAAGACTGATTAGACATAGCTCCAGACTTTTTATCTAACTTGTAGTCATGATCTTTTGGATAATATGCTCTTTTCCTTGAATCTATTTCATTGCTTAAATTGTTCCTGTTTTGATAAGATAGAGAGCTTCTATTTCCAGGTAAAGCTAAGGAATTTGTTGTGACTGTCTCCTGTGAATCTGAACTGGTAAAATCCAGTTTTTGCTTCCTTTCATGAGGTCGAGGTTTCTTGGCCCTGGGATCATAGGCTACACCAAGTCCTAATCCTCTCCAGCTTGTTTTTTTCTGTAGAAAACAAAAGGAATTTATAGCTTGTAATGCCTTGCTTTAAAATCATAGGCCTTAACAGTCATCTGAGTTGTTATTTGTTATTGTGAGGTCACCAAAAAGTACATATAATAAGGCTTTTTATTTGTGGATTAATAAATGATATAGTAATACAGTAAAAGTTACCACAGTCACTCCACCTGGGGGAATGGGTGACCTCCTTTATTAATGACATTCACAATATTGATAAAGCATCTTAAGGATCCCTGTCCTGTCCCATTGCATTGTGGTTTTTCCAGAATACCCCCCCCCCNNNNCTTCTGTTTAGATATAACTATAGCACAGTTGGGCCAGTTTTTCCAGAGTAACCCCCCCCCTAATTTCTGTTTAGTTATTACTGTAGAACAGTTTGGGCCAGCACATTTCCGATGACCAGGTAGCTCAGTCTGTTAGAGTTGATAGTATATCATCTGAAGTCAGGGGTTTGAATCCCGGGTCTTGCCCGCTGATCTTTTTTACATTTAGAACACTGTTGTTATATTTTGTTTATTTCACCTTTATTATTTTCCATAAAAGGTGCAACTTTCTTTTCAGAAATGATTTATCAGAGCTATAGTCAAATTGGACAAATTGTTTCCAACACCTAGTTACACTTTTTGGCGGTGGTAGGGGGGGATCTTTCCTTCCATCAAGAATATTTCGCATATCCATGTCTAAAGAAGAAGACTTTTGAAAATTGAGCCGATTAAGATTTGTTCCTTTTGGGTCCTGCCCCTCCAGCCCTGGGTGTTTGTTTGTTTGTTTTTATGGGGTTTAATATCATCCCAATACTTAAAATGTAAGGAAGACAGGTGCCTGGGTAGCAGTGTATAGTAGAGGGATGTGGCCATGGGTGATATTTTTGTTAAATGGCTAACCCCTGTATAATGATATGTAAAAAAAATATCAAAATAAAACTGTACTTAAATTGGTATAAGCATGATGAAGTGGTGTATGTGAGCTTCACATTTGTAAAAAACAAACAAAAAAAAAACATTTTTTTGGTTCGAGAATAAAATTTTGGCCATAATCCGAAAGGGTGCCTACACATAAAAATCTAGCTTTACAGGAGGTAAAATTTTGACAACAGCACACAACGCAAAATTGCAAAAAATCAAGTTGTTCAACTTTACTGGGACCCAGATAATTCTGCAACCAAGTAGGTAATCTTTAATTTCAGACAGAACTTGGGAAAAAAAATACTAGTTGCGGGGGTCAAATTTTGGGTCAAAAATAACATTATTTGACATTCTTTGGTAATTTTTGATGTGGTAACCATGGTTTTCACACAAGTGACATACATAGAAAAAAGAAGTTTATACACTTCTTAGTACTTTATATGTATTGGAAATATAATGCAGTTTACAAATATATATACATGTATATATGTGTTGTGTAGGGTAAATCCGCTGTGTTTACATTTCCTCAACATGTGCCTTGTTTTTCAGAGTCGGGCCATTTCTACTGTACACTGCTACCCTGGGAGACACCAACCATAAAAAGAGAGTAGTCCCTATGGGTGAATCGGGTCTTAATTTTCATACCATCAAACTGCAATCACATGATAATTCCAACCAATTACATTCACAGCTTTAATAAAGCACCTAAGGAATTTTCTATCTTTGAACGGTATTTCATTCTAGCATATCTGGGTCTGAAGAAGAAGAGGGTTGAAATTGAAATTTCACCCAATGTTTTCTCTTTGGGCCCCTTTACAGGCCCCTGGGGGGCTAGCAAACCATGCATGCATTTTGGATAAGGAATTTCTGTGTAAGATTTTGATTTTATCTTGACCCTTTTTACCTAAAAAGCAATTCAAAACCAGCCTTAGGGCAAGGCAGCCATGTATGAAATATGTTTGATTCATCCACATGGATTCGACTTATTGTGGAGAAAAAAAATGAGTTTCATAATTTTGTAAAGGGAATTCTTAATCAGAAAAACAAAACCAAGAGGAAGCCCTTGATGTAGCCTGAATTTGATTGACCCTGGCAGCTCAATTCATGCGAATTATTTGTTTAATGAAAGAGTTAGTTGAGCTTGATTTATACTGGGAAGCCCAGCTATTGTATAGAACCATATTTTCTATTTATGATCCTGAGCTTTTACATTTGAGTCATTTTTTTTGTGTCAGAATTAATTTAGTAAAAAAAAGGGTATTAAATGTATTACAATAACCCTTCTAATCTTTGTTTTCAGATGAACCTTGATTTCCTGCTAACCTGATGTATCACAGTAGTGCCATCCTTTAAATACTGGTCATGTTTTCGTTTCTCTATCAGCTTCTCCAATTCTTCTTTCTTCTCTGCTTCATAATCTGCATCTTCATGTTAGAAAAAAATACAATTAGTTCATAAATAAGAATTGTTTGTGGGAAACATCAGGTAGGTGGATTACCATACAATACAAGATGACAGTATTTCTGGTAAATCATCAGGAAGTTAGATTGCCATAAAATACAAGATTACAGTATTGCAGGTAAAAACACTAGGTAGATGGATGACTATACAATACAAGATTGCAGTATTTCTGGTAAACATCATATAGATGGATTACTATACAATACAAGATTACAGTATTTCTGGTAAACATCATATAGATGGATTACTATACAATACAAGATTACAGTATTGCAGGTAAAAACACTAGGTAGATGGATGACTATACAATACAAGATTACAGTATTTCTGGTAAACATATAGATTGATTACCATACAATACAAGGTTACAGTATTTCTGGTAAACATCATGTAGATGGATTACCATAAAATACACGATTACAGTATTTCTGGTAAACATCATAAAGATGGATTACCATACAATACAAGATTACAGTATTTCTGCTAAACATCATATAGATGGATTACCATACAATACTTGATTACAGTATTTCTGGCAAACATCATGTAGATGGATGACCATACAATACAAGATTACAGTATTTCTGGCAAAAATCATGTAGATGGATTACCATACGATACACGATTACAGTATTTCTGGTAAACATCATGTAGATGGATTACCATAAAATACACGATTACAGTATTTCTGGTAAACATCATGTAGATGGATGACCATACAGTACAAGATTACAGTATTTCTGGTAAACATCATGTAGATGGATGACCATACAGTACAAGATTAATTTCTGGTAAACATGTAGATGGATTACCATACAATACAAGATTACAGTATTTCTGGTAAACATCATATAGATGGATTACCATACAATACATGATTACAGTATTTCTGGCAAACATCATGTAGATGGATGACCATACAATACCTGATTACAGTATTTCTGGTAAACATCATGTAGATGGATGACCATACAATACAAGATTACAGTATTTCTGGCAAACATCATGTAGATGGATTACCATACGATACACGATTACAGTATTTCTGGTAAACATCATATCGATGGATTACCATACAATACATGATTACAGTATTTCTAGTAAACATCATAAAGATGGATTACCATACAATACAAGATAACAGTATTTCTGGTAAAACATTAGGTAGAAAGATTACCATATAATACAAGATTACAGTATTTTTTGATAGAACATAAGGTAAGCCGATTACCATACAATACAAGATTACAGTATTTCTGGTAAACATCATGCAGATGGATTACCATACAATACAAGATTACAGTATTTCTGGTAAACATCATGTAGATGGATGACCATATAATACAAGATTACAGTATTTTTTGATAGAACATCATGTAGGTGGATTACCATACAATACAAGATTACAGTATTTCTGGTAAACATGTAGATGGATTACCATACAATACACGATTACAGTATTTCTGGTAAACATCATATAGATGGATTACCATACAATACAAGATTACAGTATTTCTTATGAAACATTATGTAGATGGATTACCATATAATACAAGATTACAGTATTTTTTGATAGAACATAAGGTAAGTGGATTACCATACAATACAAGATTACAGTATTTCTGGTAAACATCATGTAGATGGATTACCATACAATACAAGATTACAGTATTTCTGGTAAACATCATGTAGATGGATGACCATATAATACAAGATTACAGTATGTCTTGTAAAGCATCATGTAGATGGATGACTATACAATACAAGATTGCAGTATTTCTGGTAAACATCATGTAGATGGATGACCATATAATACAAGATTACAGTATGTCTTGTAAAACATCATGTAGATGGATTACCATACCAGACAAGATTACAGTATTTCTGGTAAACATCATGTACATGGATTACCATACAATACAAGATTACAGTATGTCTTGTAAAACGTCATGTAGATGGATTACCATACCATACAAGATTACAGTATTTCTCGTAACCATCATGTAGATGGATGACCATACAGTACAATATTAAAGTATTTCTGGTAAACATCATGTAGATGGATGACCGTATGATACAAGATTACAGTATGTCTTGTAAAACATCATGTAGATGGATTACCATACCATACAAGATTACAGTATTTCTGGTAAACATCATGTAGATGGATGACCGTATGATACAAGATTACAGTATGTCTTGTAAAACGTCATGTAGATGGATTACCATACCATACAAGATTAAAGTATTTCTGGTAAACATCATGTAGATGGATTACCGTATGATACAAGATTACAGTATGTCTTGTAAAACGTCATGTAGATGGATTACCATACCATACAAGATTACAGTATTTCTGGTAAACATCATGTAGATGGATGACCATACAATACAAGATTACAGTATGTCTTGTAAAACATAAGGTAAGTGGATTACCATAGGTACACATATACACTTACTTGCCAAGTGTTTCTTTCCCTGTCTATGTAGTATCAACATGTCCACAGTATCAAACACTGGCCGATGCCCACAAACCAAGCAGGCAAACCTAGAAATCAATAGACATTAGATAAATACCATGTAGTTTCCTGGTGGTGATTCCCAGTTATCACTATAAAATTAATACTACACCTGACAGAGATATCTCAACTTTGATGTTTTTCCATACAGAAACAAGGCCATCCCAATGTTCTGACTACCAAAATAATTCAATTTGATTACTTTGATCATCATCACACACAAGAAATATATTTTCCTCTTGGCTCACTGTTAGAGTTTTAACTATTTGTAATATGACTAGAAATGCAAAATCCTTATCAGTTTTTTGAACCAGAGACCTCAGAATTCTCCAGCAGATGTTTAAAGCAACTTTAACTGAGCGTCAAATGTAACAGGTGCAGACAATGCAACATCCAGACTGGAATCAAACCTTGGACCTCCGAATCAACATCTTACCATTGTATCTTCCTGGTCACTATATAAATCGGTTGAAGAATTATGTTCAGCTGACATCGGCTACTATACATCTCTCAGGAAACCAATGAACAATATGATGAAATGGTGTCTCTTTTCCCTCTTTTGCGAAAAAGCAAAAATAAACAAACAAACCTGAAGAAATAAAAGTTTTACATACCTGCCATTGCTCATCAGTAGGGCTTCATCGTCTGGTACAGCTATACCCAATAATTCACAAACTCTTCTTTTCTGTAACACATTTCAAACAGCTTTGTTTGAGTTAAATACCTTCTTCTAAGTTGTAAACAAATTCTTTAAAACAAATATGTTTAACCATCATATTTATGTGCTCATTATACTACTATTTGTACTGATGGAGTTTATGGAGCAATCTGCAGACTCTGTGTTAAGTCATCCTCGATACGCTCTCCCTACACCCCTGGTAATATATCATAGCAAAATCGAAGGCTTAATGTCCGCCACCTTGTCGATGAGACAGGAAGACTAGTTCAATCCTTTGATGTACATCAAAAATAAAGAATCTTGCTATCGCGTAACGGTAAAACTTGACTGACTTTGAAGTCTGGTGTCACTCCTTTGTAATCTTCAAAGGACAGGTATCACTAGCCTAGCGATTGGTCAGGTGTTTTTTTATACCCGAGACCAATCAAACAGCTATTTGTGTGCCTTCAATTTTGCTATGACATATTCCAGGGGTGCAGAGAGCGAAAGTGAGTGTAACCACTGGAGTATCGAGGATGGTGTTTAGTGTACACATGTTTCATCTCCCATACTCACCCTTAGAATCCCTAACTGGTTGCTGTCATTCCCATCCCTCTTAAAAGACATGGTGTCTCCCGGTGTCTCTAACCATCAACTATCATCTCTGCAACAATCAAAATCATCAATGATATTTTCACCTTTGTGAGACTAAGCTCAAAATAAATGATGCATAAATCTTTAAATTTTCTGTTGCTCTGTTTTCTATTTAGTATTTCTAAAATACTAATATAAAGCAATGAGATCCTGTGTCTTTTTAATTGTTAATTATATTTTAACAGCAGTTTCTGTTTTTGATTTCAGTTGATCTCTGTTAGCAGAGATGTTGCATTTCTTTAAACTGGGTTTATCTTGGTTTTCTTGGAAAATGTGATCAAGCTTCAAACCTGCTCAACTCATTCACCCCTGAAAACACATTTGAACTCTTCAAATTCAAAGGTTGGAATAGTTCATTATGAAACTTCTGGGGTGAATGAGTTAACACATCTGCTGGAACATATACAACCAAAAGGCTCAAACCCCTTAAGAATGTGTGAAAACCAAGTTGATCGTTCGACAGGAGGTATATCACACTTTTAAGCCTTCAAGTTTCGATAGCATTCTTTTGTTTTAATCAAATTGCGTCAAATATGTGCGACATTTTTCCTGAGGCAGCTGGAGTAAAGAATTGTTATGAGAGATGTACTCATTCATATCTTTATTCCTCCAAATTTGAAGAGTTACAAATGACATATATATGGGTTACAAAAATAGATACACAAAAGACATAAGTATAAGGCAAAATGAAAAAGAAAAATCTGTGGAATCAAACAGAAAAAGTTGCATGATTACACAATATATGAGGTACACAACGATAAATAAAGACATACACAGGACTATATCAAACAGCAAGGGAACATGTATGTAACGACAGGACTGTCAAATTGCCAGGATGAACCAGATATAATACGAATGCATATGATTTACATGTCTGGCAGACTATCGTCGTTAATTAAATGTAAGAAGGGATACTTTTTCAGCATAAATACAACAATCTCTTGCAAAAGATGCGAAAAGGCTGTCCTCATTAACAAATATGTCTTTCATGGCAGCAGATGGACTGCCGAGGAATGTCGCAATTTGCACCTCCCTACATGAGTTAGCAAGAACAACATACACATTCACCGGATAATCGTTGACTATCTTGGTGAAAAGTTCATCACGTAGAGTTAGCAATGTGGGACTACGGCAGTCTAAAATACAATGCGCAACTGCATCTTCTGCAAAGATATTGCACTGGGCACATGATAGTTCACTATTAGGTGGAATACCCCATAGCTTTGCAACGTTTTTACACGTTGTGTTGAGATAAGGGAAACATTTAGATAGGTACCATAGTGGCGAAGGGCTGATCTCACAATGTAGGTGTTTAAATCTTAAGAACTCATCACAAGCATTGAGACGTTCACTCCATTGCGAGGAGTACTCACCTAATACGACACCTTTTGTGAAGTGTTTCCAATAGTTTTTAACCGGGACAAACCCAGTTTGCAAAAATTGGTACAAAAAGTCTTGTAGATCATATTTGTGAAGTATGTTCCAGATGTCTAGAACAAAACCTTTTTCGTTACAACAAATGCCAAAATATACATGAAAAAGTCTCAGTAAGAACAATCTCTTTGCTGTAAAACGTGCATCTGTTCTGCATAAAGCAGAGAAGAATCGAAGTTTCGATAGTTCAATGTTTAGACGTATGGACGTAAGTCCAAGCATACTAAGGACAATATCTGATCTAGTGCGCCGCGGAAAACCTTGAATGAGCTTTGCACACAAATGGTGAACTGTTTCAATGCGATTCCATTCGGTCTCGGAAAGTGAATACCAGAGTTCACCGCCAAAAAGGCTACTTGGCATTACAATTGTTTTATACAGCTTAGCACCGGTCAATGGGTTGATTCCAGTACCAAATAAGTTGCAGTTAAGCAAAGCAAAACATTGACCACGTAGCTTGTGAACAATCTCATTGACATCTGGACAGCCTGGTTTGAACTTATTCAAAAAGATACCGACATGTTTACAATGAATAGATTCAGGGAGTGCTTCGCTGCCGAGACTCCATCTGCGTGTTATCTTTGAAAAGACACTTTTGCTTTCATTAAAAACAATTACGGTAGATTTTGATGCGTTGTAACTAAATCGCCACTTACAACTGTAACTGTAGCAGATGTCCATGAGACAGTCCAAGCCATGTTTACAAAAAGACAGAAGGGTAATATCATCTGCTTGAGTTGGACAAGTAACATTTACACCATGTATAAGTAAAGAGTACTGTGAAGCACATAACTCATCCAGTAAATCATTAATAAAAACTGTATACAGCCAGGGAGAAATAATGCTTCCCTGACGCGTACCTTGGCATATCTTAAACCAGTTAGAAATAAAACCTTGGTGCAATACTGCGCTGTACATATTTGAGTATAATGAAACAATGATATTGATATACTTTGAATTTAGACCTAAACTGTGAAGTTTGAAAAATAGGCCGTTATGCCAAACACAGTCAAATGCTTTGGCAGCATCAAGAAAACATGTAAAAAGTTTACTGTTATTATCACACGCATATGTGATAGATTCATGGACTAGAAATGACGTGAAAGTACTACTTACATTCTTTTGAAATCCATTCTGTAAGGGGTTAGGTATAAACAAGTTTGTATCCTCAAGTCTGATAAGTAATAATTTCTCAAAGACTTTCAGAATCACTGGCAACAGAGAGATAGCACGATAACTATTGGGGTCACTCTTTGGCTTGTTATGACCTTTGTATAGTGTACAGATCAGACCCTTTGTTAGTACAGGAGGAACATACTCCAATCTTAAAAAAGCATTAAAAAGAACATACAAACAGTTGTACACAGTGTCGTGGGCATAGAGTAAATGCTCGTACACAATTTGATCGTGCCCAGCTGCTTTACCTTGTGGTAAACTTTTACAGACCTTTTTAACGTCAGACATAGAAATTTCAACAAAACATTCATTGTTTACTATATGATTGGATAGAATATTGGCAACAGATGTATTGATTTGGTCTGCAAAATTAGCATCAAAGTCATTAAGAGACGACTGGGAATATATGTCTTCAAAATATTCACCCCAATGTATGGCTAGAAGAGCAGGGTCTCTAATGACCCTCCCGCTAAAGTTCATTTCAGCGCCAACAGCACCCGAGGATGACTTACAGCGACTTTTGATGAGAGACCAAAACGATTTTTGATTTACATCCGCACATTTCTCAATGTCGTTGTTGAGGTTTACAATATGGTCTTCTGATACCTGACGATGTCTTTTCCTAAATAGGCACTTTGCATTTTTATAGAGCCTAAAGGTATTGGAGAGGGGGTCCCGAGGTCGTCCTTGAGAGATCCATTCCAGACGCAACCGCCACATATTACGATGGAGTTCCTTTAGATGATTATTCCAGTACGGTTTAAGGAATCTACAGAATTTACGCTTCGGTAACACACGTTCTGAAGTCCGCTGAATGCAATTCACAAGCTCGTTGGTGTAATTCTCAACATCGTCCTCAGAACAAAGCTCTTGCATGTTCACTAACGACGAGTTACTGATGCATTCATCCAGGCTATCGCGATAAACATCAACATTCTTAGAATCTCCAGAAGTAATCCACCTATAAGAGACTCGCGTCAGAGTATTACAAAACGTTTCCCTAGGAACAGGAAGAGGAATGTGTAGCTCGCATAACAAAGGCCTGTGGTTCGGAACATCAAGGAAGTCACGATCTAGTACAGCGCATTCCCAGACGAGATCAACTTTTGACGAGTTGATGATAATGTGGTCTATAAGGGACGACGATCCATCCTCCGAATGAACATACGAGTGCAACGGACCGACACATATATCAGCTGTTGACAACGCGCACAACTGATGCCGGTCAATGAGTCTCTGGAGCGACTGACCACGCTGGTTTTGATAATTAGGGATACGTGGACCGCTTAGGCGAGCATTGAAATCTCCCATGAGAATTACTGATACTTCAAGGGAAAAAGTTGTGCATAAGTCATCAAGTTTCTCAACATAATCCGTAAATATATCCACGCCATACCGAGAAGTAGGGAGATAAACCTGGATGAAATAAAGAATATCACTGTCCGTGACAAGCTTAATAATGACGATTCTGTCGTCATCAGACTCTACGACAGACACACGATCGTTAAATCTTTTGTACCACATTATAGCAACACCGCCTTTACGAGATCGTTTATCCGCAAGCGGATGTAGGGAAAAGTCAGATATGGCTATCGACTCGTAGTCTTTATGAATACTACCGAATAGGTGCCTATTTTCTTCGAAAAGCCAGTGCTCCGCTGTTCCACAGATATCGACGTGTTCCCTGTTTAATGCGTCATGCAGATGAGAAGCAGCCGACATTATGCCGGTTACGTTCCACGACATTAACCGAATGTTTATCGACATGGGTAGGGTAAACCAAAGCAAAAAGAGTACAAAAATCTAAATCTGTGAATTAACAATGCATATTTTAAGCTTTATATAAGTGTGTATGCATATTTAAACCATCACATCTTACCATTTACATTTCACAGCTAAAACGAAAATAGAATTTTCATAACCTCATGTTACCAAGTTTCGTATGAAATATCCTCGGGTTACAGGTTTCCGCGCTATTAAGAAGCATCCGCGATTTCGTACTCATATCGGCAGTACACTGTTGAAATTACGGAAGACTGTCATAAACATGCATACAATCTACCAAAGGAAACAAAAAACTAGCAATATAAAACTGTATTTTAAAAAAATCAGAACAAACAATTTTTAGTAAATTTCTCCCGTCGGAAGTAGCCGTCATATGTTTCAGTGTGTCTATTTTGATTTAGTGTTCAAAGAAAGATAACTCGAATACACTAAAAAGAAATTCTCTACAGTGACTTGCAAGAACAAAAGCTTCGTTTGGAATAAAAAATATATCTTTGATCGTCAAATTAATTATCAAAACAACTTTTTTTGAATTTCACCTTTTCAATTTATTTTTCAAGATGTCAAATTGAATGAATTCATGTATTTTTTAAAATTATTTATTAGAGCTATATCTATTTATTTATGATATAGAATCTGTTATTATTTTTTTCTGCAGTTTTATATCGGTTTTGGTTGATGGTAAGTTATTTCTCAATTTGTTCTTTTTCAAACTGGTGAAAATTGGAAGTTCATTGCATTACAAGGTTTACGTTTCATTGAAAACACTGTTTATCGATATAAGAATGTCTCCTTGGCTCTTCGGAAGTGGAAAAAAATCGGCGAGGAGATGTGGCCTCATTTGCATACGACATTTTCGTACGTTTGTCAGACTACAAAAAAGACTGGTTCATGAATGAAATATATCACCGTTTTTTTCAGGTATGGGTTCATTTTGAGCAAGATAAAAAGAGCATTAAGCAAAACTGCATATTTATGCGTGATTTTTAATCAGTGATTAAATCTTATGTTTTCCGGACGAACTTCCGGTAATTTTTTTGTCAGTTTACAGACGATGGCCAAACGTCTAAAATATCCTGTTACGAGATGATATAGGTTGATAAAATGTCTGCGCGGAAATACATAACGCGCGGAAACTGGTGTCTAGACGATACGTTATACCCACTAATGAACGAATGCACAAAATTTCAATATCGTGTCATCGGTATTCTTTCATCTTCGTGTCGGAAAATCTGAAAAGAACAGCATGAACTTGATAAAGAGTAACCTGTAACATTCTACCTGCTAGGTAAACTTACAAGCGCATTTGAGTAGAGTCGACTTTGTCAAACACACGAGGGATCGTGATCGGAAATAACGCGAGAAATTTATTACGAAACATCCGGGTCTTACCTGCGTGAACAGAGCTGCGCAAAGAAGTAATTTGTGTCATCGTCTTCATTTCGGAGAAGCATCCCGTGGGCAAATTTCGGTGTTGTAAGTAACCTAAGATAAATAAGGTCCCATAGACTTGCCAAATAATATCTCCATAACTATTCTACCGAATGGACTCCAGCAGTTTCTTCTCAGAAACCGTCAAATGATCTATCACCAAAAGAAAACGCCCGTAACCTCGGACTTGGGCTGTGCTACACAGCCCAAACAAGAATCGTCGGGACAGTCTGTATTTGCCCTTTTCCGTAATTCGATTGGATAAATGCCAGTCTCTTAGTATTAAGCAGAAAATAGACCTTCGTGACTGACAAGAAGTCTCTCATTATGTCTCTTTCGAGAACTGAATCACGAAAAGTTTGTCCCGTGCCAAGGTTGTAATGGCGCAGAGATGTTCTGATCGAACACCTGCTGATGAAGCGATTTGACGTACGCTGAATGTCCTTTCCCCACAGAACAACACCTTATGGTCGTTTGTTCAATATTTAAATTTCAGAATGTTGCTACTTAGATATTATGTTCAATATGTGGTCTGCACGTTCTGTGTTTATCATTCACTATATACTGGCCATGGTGTCCCCTCCTGATTGCAAACGGTTGATTTGGGAATGAATGGAAATTAGAGATATCTATCATATCGATGCGTCGTTTCCGAGATACTTTTTTCTCTGGATTCGACCAGGTAAAAGATATACATGTCACATTATGTGGGGGGAGGGGGGGGGGGGACGGGCATGGCATGGGTTCTTCGGTAATCATTGAAAATATGAGAGTTGCACAAAACAATATTGAAAAAATCTGATACATGGTTGCAGACTGCATGTCTTACTCAGTGTACAAGTCTGTAGGACTACAATGGTTAGAAATATTGTGAGTCGGGTAACTGTGTGTACTTATGCAAACCAAAACCAGGAAAACCATGGTTTTTGTGCAATGCACTTTCTTTTGATAAAACTGTGATTATTTAATTCACTAAATTCATAAACAAAGATAACTCAATATTTATTACTTATTAATACAATTGTAAAACTTTGCAAATTCTCAAAATCTTTACAAATTGGCTACATATCACTATCCTCCTGACTGGGAAATTTTTGTAGTTTCACTATAGATTCATGTGTTGTAAAAGCTATGCACACATATTTCTGCCATCACTTTGAGTCGGAACAGAGACAACAGTTTCCGGTGAATGATACGTTACATTGTTCAACAGAATGTCAGTCGATATTATTTTAATTTATTGTATTGTCTAATAGCAAATAAACTGATCACAAATGTTTTCAAGGTCTGTTAAACAGCAGACAGGAGCGACATTTCTGACTGGGAAAAAGAATAATACTTAATTTTGACCTACATTTTGGGACAGTTTTCAGCTACATAGATTTGCTAACTGAACAGTATTCGACTATTCATAACAGAACCGCAACCAGGTACTTCGCTATCCATTTCAGCCCTACTAGTCAGCAGATATCCTTTTCTTAAAGAAGGTGAAATTTCAGTCATTTTCGTCCAAAGTTACGTATACCCTGGGCCCCTTAATGTACCATATGACTGTCATTGCACCTGATTTTTATTCTGAAAACTTGTATTTCGGAAACTATTGAGGTTCAATCACCTGGAAATGATACAGAAATTTAACAGTCTAAAATAAAAGCTTTTGACTGCTTTTTATGAACTGAAATAAATGTTATCCATGCCATTAAATTGTATTTATCTTTTTATAAATATGAAGTCTTGTCTGTTTTGAATGAACATAGACGTGCCCAAAGTAGAGCAGACTATCCCATTTTTCAAAATTATATACATGAATCAGCGTTGATGTGAAAAAAGTATATTAAAGCCCTGAATGAAAATTTGTGGGGTTTTACTAGCACACAGACACCACCAATATTCATATAAAAATATCTGCGAATGGCACAGCAAAAAATTGAATTGGACTCTACCTTTGCAATATTTAACACTTCAGTTGAAAACATCAACCATTTGAGTTCATAGAAAGAGCAGGCCTGCTGTATCCTGCTCCATGTTATTGAAAGAGGCAACTTGTGTGGTAGCCCCTGTAGATTCTCCATTGTGTCTTGGGGGTCGTTGGGGAAACCAAAATTGATCTACTGCCAAATTGCAACACTTGAGATATATATATCGGATTTTTTTCAGTTCCATAGTCATTCATTTTGGTATTGTCTCCCTAAAACATTTGTATTATCTCAAACCCAAGTTTTGTGTGTCATACAGGAAAAAAATAACGGTATTATGTGTCATACAGGAATCAAGGGTTTCAAATCTGTCTTAATACTGATGGCAGATTTCTTTTTCAATTTTTTTTTCAAAAAAGATCAATTAAGTATATGTAGTTTTCTGCTCAAAAATGCTTTATTGATGCTATAAGTAACTAAATCCCAATTCATGTTTTCAGTTGTTGCCTTTGATAAATTTCTGTTCATCCCAAATTATACTACAGGAGAAAATTCAAAGAAGAACTTGGAAAGAATCACAGTCAAAACAAAGCTTTAGTACTGCTTAGATGGATGATAATCCTACAATAAATTAACATTTGAGCAAAAAGTAATGACCACTTTCCCCTCGGAAATTTTGCTAAAAGTCCCAAAAGGATGGGCCATCCTGATAACACTGGTGTATAAATTTAGATGATATCACTGATAAATAAAAGTGGAAATATTGCAAACGGGTAAAAAAAATAACACAAAATGAAAAATATTTTTTCCCAATTTTTAATATTGCATTAAAAGTTTTCAATTTCATGGAGCCAGGAAACAGGTTGTAGGAAGATCTCTGACAATATAATGTATATAAAAAGAAGGAAATACATTTCAAATTGAGAACCAAAACGTGTACATGAAATTAAAGTCATATTTAGTTTATTAGCTCACCTGGCCTGAAGGGCCAAGTGAGCTTATCCCATGGTGCAGCGTCCGGCGTCCGTCAACTTTTTCCTTTAAAATGCTACTTGTCCTGAATGGCTCGGAG